ACCCTGCAAACTTCTGAACACACATTTAAACTTTCTATTGTCCTGAAAACAAGTTGCCTGCATTTACTGCTTGGAACTCCATGGAAAATGGTAGCTTGAAGAAGCGTTCATTTCGGGACAGGAACCACCAGGAAAGGATAGTGTACAGCCCAGCATGCACTAACCCATATACATCCCAGCAGCCGTAAAGCAGTCAGTACAAAACCAGTTTTCTACACGGATGCAAGAGTTTAAAATTACTTTGCCCACTATGACTACAGATCATATATTCCTGTTCAACCAGTATTTAAATTTTGACCTATGGAGGTCCAGGGCTGAAGATACACAAGCTGCCGTATGAGAGACTCTCTTCCAGCCAGTACTAAACTTCTATTACTTGAGAATCTCTCCTTCTGTGGAGCAAGGAGAGTTATCTGCAGTATTTGAAGTGCCCAGGTATTATGATGAGCAGAGAGCTGGGGGAAGGGAGTACAACCTGCGCGGCTGCCGCTACAAATGGATCTTGAAGTGTACAGATAGCATATCTTTCCTTTTCCCCAAAAGGCTGTAAGACACTCCACTGCTTGTGATAACACGTTTTCACAGGCTACTTTAACCCCTCAAGCAGGTACTTAATGAAGTAGAATAATACAATAACTGGTCTTCTGCTGGGATTTCAGCCTCTGGATGCTGATAGCCTGGTTTCTCACAGCCCCTTGACTCTGGCAGAATGTCTTAAACGCGTCAAAAAGAAAGAAGAGCACAAACCCAAATGTATACCCAGACCCAGGCTTAGCTGTGTTTACTCTGGACATCGCTGTTATCAACTGTGAGTTACCACAGGAGCCAAGGATATTGCATTACCAGCCCTGCTTTAGAGCAGTAAAGCTTAAGCACAGAGCAGTTAATGGATTTGCCCATGGTCCCACATGTGACCCGGCTCACCCCCCAGTGAGTCCTGCAGCACTGACCTTGCATTCCCCTTCATTCCCTCACCACAGAGGCATTTCTGCACCATCTCCCACACCTTCTCTCATGCTTGGAACAGCTTTCCAAGCTCTAGTCAGCACACATCAGCCCCTCACCTCATTGAAACTGCTCCTGAGAAATCCCTTTGTCTACAAACATCAAAGAGTAGCCCCTGTGCTTAGCTCGTCGTTTACACAGCATGAGAATCTGGCATCACATGTTGGTATAAACAGACAATGCAATAAAATATAGGTGCATCTAAACTCTGAATCCACAAGCTGTAATATGCTGCTCCACCCTTTTCTGATGTCTGTTACATCTTCATTTATCAAATCTGCCATTTAGACCAGCAAGAGATTCATGAAAGGGACCCCTGCCCCTGGCTGTTTCCCCAGGTATACCTAAAGCAGACATGGTGATTATACAGTAAGATAGGGAGTCCAGAGTTTCTTTGTAACAGCACAGCTACAGCTTCAGACAGGCTGACTAAAAAGTTGTGAATGCATGAAAGCAAATTGAAACATTCTGTTTTGAAAATGTGATGTCTGGGCACTTTCCCGCGGTTGAACTTATTTTTTAAGGAGTGTTTGTCTCAAGAGAAGCTAAGCCCACTGAACCTATTCCAAGACTGAAGAAAGCATATCAGTCCAGACGCCAGTTATCCCAGTGAACATTTTTCCTCCCTCTGTCCCCAGGCTGTCTGACCTCTCCCCTCGATCAGCGGAGCTATCCTGGGCTGAGTCTGTTCCAGCACGCCAGTCTGCAGAGGTCAGAGGTACCACACCACCAAAGCTGCTATCACAAACACCTCCACAGGATTACAGCATACCAAGAAAGCTTCCTGGCAGTTTCCGAGCTGCTGCATATGCAAAGAATAATGCAAAGTCTTTCTCTTTCACTGCCCTTGGAATATGCCACATAGTGCAATAATCCTTCATTCCCAGCTCCTGGGTATGGCCTCAGTGTTCCTGCTTGCTTTGCACAAAGATAAATGAGGCCAACAGCACAGGTTAATCCCAGGTGTAATTCACTGAAATAACTAACAGTTTAGGAGATTTGTTTGTTTATCTAGGAGATGAGAGAAAAAGGAAGCAACATCCTCCTGTGTTGTGACCCTGAGTCTTCCCAAACCCAGCTGTGCCTCAGTCTGCCTCCAGCTGCTTCCCACCTTCTCTCCAGCACAGCCAGTTGAGCTGCTTGCACCAGCACCCCTGGTCCATCCACTGACAGCACTCAAGCAAATGCTTTTGGATAGCATAGCTCACCTGGACTGAAATAGGTCTGGGAGCAACACCAGCAGGTTGCTCCTCTGAGCAGCCACCCCCAGGACACAGAAGCAATTCAGGGCAGAGCTGGGAGTTAGAAGCTGACTCCTGGGTCCCGGCCCTGCTTTAATCACAAGGTGGTTCTTCCTTGCCAGAGGGAGAGCAAGGCAGGTTGCTGGGCCTTCTGCTGCCAGAGGAGCTGCATTCAGTGCATGAGCAGAGTTGACAGTATCTGTGCTGCTCCTGGTATGACTTCAGTGCAAGCTTCAAGAGCTGAAGACACACAGAACACTTAATTTTCATCTCTCTAAAGTGTAGCTATAAAAATACTTCAGAAGATTCTCGCAGGGTGAAAAGAATTATTTTGGCAGAACTAATGAAAAATTACTTTTTTATCTATGGCCACCTTCACTGCCCTCACCTGCAGGGCTGAGATTCTTGCAGGAGATGTGAGCAAAGTTCAGTGTCTGCAGCTTTGAGCTCTGCCAAGTCCCACAGCTCACAGCAGTGAGTTTAGTTCCCGCAGATAACAGCCACCAGGCACCCACTGGCTTAAATCATTTTCCTACAGCTACTACTACATTGGATTGGATTCCCATGTACAAAAGGATATGAAGCTTAATGCTATCCCATAAGATATCCAGGCCCCATAACCGTTAGATTTTGGAAACAGAGATTAGCCTATGGAAGGACACACTAACATTTAGGAGCTCACCTAAGCACAGTTTGCAAGGCTGCATTCCCATGTCTCTTCAGCCAGCATCTCCACCTTTCTCCACTTTCAGAGGTGGATTTAATCAACTATATCAATTAATCTGGCATTTAAACTCCACCCAACCTCAAAGGTCACCTCATAGCACCTGCTTCACTATAAAACAATGATAGTAATTGCTCCAGGACCTCACAGGACTTTTGGCAAACATGCCCCCAAGTGGACCATCCCATGCAAAATGACAAATCATCATGTCCACAGGATAACCCTCTCCCACTGCAGCTCAGGAGAGGCATGCTGTTCTCCAGGAGTTTCAACCAACACTGTCAGACTGCAGAAATCCAGAGTTATTTGGAACCTAATGCACTACTACCGAGTGTCAGGTAACCCTCTGCTAGTTTCTTCTTGGATCTTGGCATACAGAACAGTCTGTAATCCAAGGAAAACAGCCAGCTATCATAAAGCTCCACTGCTGTCACCTTCAGGTATCACACATGGAGGGTCTTCCAAAATCTGGAGACATGGTCCATAGCAAGTTAAACTAAAGGTTTATTCTTAATGGGAAATAGACAACGCCACATAAAACCTTTCCCCATGGGCTCAGCCATCACAGACATTTTCCTTCATGAAAACAACATAGAAAGCAACTGAACTGTAGGCTTACCACACTGTCTGGCACTGCTTTCCAAAATTCTTATTTGCTACAGTTATATGCAAAAGGATTAGCCTGAAAGTCTTGAAGTGCACAGAAATGTTACGAACAGTCGGTAAGGGAGCAGAGATTAGATCCCATGGGCTGTCAGGCACTAGTAGAGTGCATTTGCCCAAGGCTATTCTGTGTAGGAAAGACTATATTGTGCATGACATTTTACTAGATGGGCAGGAACACATGACAGAATATCTGACAGGAATATGACAACAAGGTTTTTACATAGCTCAACAATCTTCACATGGATCAATGAAGCAGCTCTGGTCCAACTCAAACTGAAAGAAGTGCCAAAAAAAAAAAAATAAAATAATTACAAGGGTGGAGGTTTTTTCCTCCCCCTTTTTAGGAGTCTTTAAATCAAGAAGAAGCTACATACTCTACCATTTTCAAACTCTGCCATGGCCATTGAGACAGATACTGCAGACAGGCTAAATACTGTATGTAGGGTTTCATTTGCACCTACTCAGTAGGAAGCGTAAGCACAACCTGATCCCTCCAGACACCACAGACAAACAGCTCATGGATCCTTGGGAAAGGACAAGCTGATGGGTGAAGAAGCCTCACAGAGAGAGGTGGCCCCAGCTGGCTGCTCCACAGGTCAGGCCTGCTACACTCAACAATAAGCAGCTTTCTCCAGTGTAAGCAGCAGAGTGCTGATGTACCTAGATTGTATGGGGGCTCACCTCTAAGCTTTCTGCAGCAATAGGGACCATGCTGGCAAAACATTCTGTGGGTAACTAGAGACCCCAGTGGGGTTTCCAAAGACAATTGCATTTGCTCAGCCAAGGCCAGAGCTCAAGAAAAAGTTCATACTATGTATCTGGCAAATACAGGAGGATTGGTTGGTTGTTTTTTTTTCTGTCCAGACTAGCAGAGCACTTTGTCATTGCTATTTCCCCTCGTACTCTTTAAATTCACACCCAAAGCTATAAGGTGCAGCTTGTGCAGGCTAATCAAGATGTATAACCTCTTATGCCAAGGTGCAACTCTTGAAGATTAAACAGCAGAGATCCAGGAGGTTCTGCCACTCTCTCAGTACTTCTTCAAAAACAGCAAAACAGAGCACAGCTCACAGGCCTTTGCTCTGGCTGCATGTTGCAAAAACACACAAGGGGACTCCTCCCACCCAGTCTCCCTGGAAGGACTGTGGGTGTGCTGGTGGCATCACCACAAAAGCCCCTGGGTCGAGAGGATCAGATTATCCTCCCACCATTGGCTCCAAACAGAACACCAGGTTCAGCCAGTAAGGTGACCTGCAGTGGCTTAGAAACAAAATACTGCCAATTAAATTAAATTCTGCTGGCCCACTTAACCTCTCATTTGGGAAAGAAAAGTAGAGCATCCTCAAAAATGTAGTTTGCTGAAGTTAATTAAAAGTAATTGCAGCTTTTTTATTATTCGAACATAGGAAAACGTATTGTTACACAAGTTAGTGATCTTGCAACTCTTGTCTTTTGGCCTGAGCTTCCACAGATGATGATGTTGGTCTTCAAGATGTCAGCCCTCATTTTTAAGGCTTAAACCTGTTACAATATAGAGAAATCTTAAATTAAGAACCAAATGCAGCTGGCACTCAGAAATCTACATGAGGAAAGCTTGGCAACACTCTTGACAACTATTTTATTTATCAATTTATTTCAGATCAACAGGGTTTGATATTGCATGTCAAACTTGGAAGTGTATATTGAAATAATTGAGAAAAACAACTTCTACAAGTCAAACTGTGTCCATCAGGCTTTAAACTAAGTTCTGGGGTTTGGGGAGGGGGAGAACAGTTAGGCAGCAAAAGGAGGTTTAATTTATTTAATTTCTTTTTTTAATAAAAATAAATAAAGGCTTAGATAGCAAGAAATGAAAGACACTGGTTTGGACAGAAGTGATTTTTGTTTATGATGATATTTTATTCAGAAGAAAAATTAAGTCCACTTCAATTGACCCAAAGTAATCTTTCACAGGGAGACACTGAACAGAGAAGTCAGAGGGTTTGCTATTGCTACATTGAAATTGCCAGCATTGATATCCATTTCATTTCCTATGTGAAAAACAAGGGGGGAAAGGGAAAAAAGTCATTAAGAAAACCCAGTGAAGTGACTGAGCAATGCTGGACAGTCACTGGGACACCAGCAGAGTCAGGCTGGACACAGTCTGATGCCAATTCCCACCACAGCACATGGAGCGCCCTGGACCCCACCAGATTCAAAGCCTATCCTAGCTCCCTGCTCCTGAACACCCATGGCTGTACTGCTGGAAGCCACCACTGCAGGCAGAGTTGGGACCCTGCCACCACAAGTTCCTCTCTTTTTCTAACTCCAGGGGCCCCTGGGCGCAGCACAGAGCAAGCACAGCTAAGTCCCACCACCTCTTCTCAAGAAGGCATGAGATCAGCCAGCAGAGGCCTATACTTATTTAAAGGCCATACACTTTGTACAACAGAAACCACCTTACTCCATTGCTGCTCTCTGGTACGGAGGCTGACTTTGACATCTGCAGTTACACCCCTCATCTTGCCCAGGAGCAGCTGCTCCATTTCTCCGCTACAGTGGTTTATTTTGGCATCTTATTCTTATTTTGTAAGAAGTGTTTTGCATTTGTATAACCATATAGTTTTGTAGCTGCAACTTTCCCTTCCTTACTTAACAGGTGATGCTGTACCAAAGCATATGCTGGTTGTCAGTTTGACATGTTGGGGCTCATCAGCTTTTTGCTGGGGAACAGCCTTTGTTTCCAAGACCTAGACCAGAGAAAGACCCTTGCAGCAATGTTAACTCAAGCCTCACTAAACAACAAGGCAGGAAAAAAAAAAAAACAACAAACCACTTTTCTGAGTTACAATTGTACCTCAGATACCTGCTTAGCCTCTGGGCTCTTTCAGGGTCAGAGGCATGCGGTTAACACTTTGCTTCCCCTTATGTGCATGCACTTCAGGGTGGGCAAGAAGGTGGCAGATAGTTGTGGAAAAGGCATGAAGGTGAGGAAACAGATTGTGTTCAGTTTTGAGAGCTAAAGCTGTATGAAAGCTCAGCTCATGAACAAAACTAAAGTGTCCCACAGTCCCAGTGGGAACCCCAAGCAGCAAGAGATGTCTGTTCAGATAAATCAGGAGAAAATGTTCTGTTCTTCACAGGTCTCTCCTCTACTCACCCAGGACACAGTTCAGTCTCTTCTTAGGAGAGGCCATAATCACAGATCTCAGATTTTGCAAGCAACAGAAAGACACATGAACTTGGCACTGTGACTCAGCCCATGCCAGCAAGAGCCCTGAGTCATGCCACTCTCACCCACATCTTGACCTTCCCCAGGTGTCCACAGCACCAGAGCCAGTTAAGGCACCGTAGACTCACTCCACTTCCAGTTTCTTCAGGAGGACAGTTTTGATAAAATCAAATAAGCCTGTGCCTAAATGTTATTTTCTTTCATCAAAGCTTTCAAAGAATACTCAGTTCAAATCAGTTTCATTTGCACTTGTTGCATAAAACTATGTGTTTTACCTACGTGTCATTGTGCTATGGTGAAGACATGGTGCACCCAAGACACATCTAGGAATCTCAGTTTCTGTCCAGCACACAGATGTTGGAGACTAAGATGACATTATCACTGCAAAAAACACATTAGATCAGTTGACAAAGGAATGACTTAAATCACTCAAAGACCAAGGGGGAGAGTGACAGTCTTTTCTAAATTTACATTTTTTTTTACTCTTTAGCAAGAAATGAAACAAAATCTACATTAAGGACGCGATTGAGATTTACAAAGTGTAAGCACTTGGAGTTACAAACTGCCAGAATTTCAGATGTCAGTGTAATCTCAGTTCAACACTCTTGTGAATGCGCACTAAGAGACAGGTTTTACTTATTCGTATCACCCACCAATGAATGCAGGCACCTCATGAGTGGAAAGCAGAGCTGCATTACCATAACACATTGACAGAAGTTTAGGAAGGGGAGAGGAGAGAGGAAAAAAAAATTCCAAAAAACCACTGAAAATAAACTGGGGAACATAATACTGGAGTGAAACAAATTGAAAATGCATGAGGATTTGCTAGCATAATAGCCAACACCAGACACATACAGCTGTAAGATACACCTCTGTGACCTGCAGAGTCATCTTTAGCAGTCAAAAGTAGAGTGGACTTTAAATACTTTTGTTGAGGTTTTTTGTCAGTTTTGGTGTTGGTTTTTTTTTGATTGGGGTTTGTTTTCTGGAGGTGGGGGGAATGGAGGGGTGGTGGGGGTTTGGGAGTTTTGTTTGTTTTGGTGTTTGCCTTTTTAAAAGAAAAGAAATAATCGAGATTTTCAGCATCTTTTCCCTATTAATCTCAAGAAGCATTTCTTTCTGAGCATATACTTCAAAGTAAATTACTGTACAGGTAAAGAACAGTATTCAAAACTGAACAAAAATGTAAGTAGCCCGCAAGTATCTTTTATACAACTGCTTATCTTCATTTTGATCTTCAACATAGATGCAGATTTGTTGGGAAGCATAAAGAAGGTCATGCTATGTATTTCTGAAGCGCCAGACAAAACCACATTCAATTATTTAAAATATCATCTAGCTAGTATGGCATTTCTGCTTACCTCTAGGATTGAGAAACAGAAGTTTTTCCTTAATTAAAATTGCAGCTTGGTTTAAATCTTAAGGCCACTCCTGGTCACCCTTCTAAAACATTCAAGAAAATGGTTGGTCTCAGACTTGTTCAGCCAGAGCCAAGACTGAGAGTCCTGAACTAATCAGGAAAAAAAGAAAAGTACAGCTCTAGGGAATAAGTGTGCATTCTTGGAAGAGACAAATTAAACACAAATACAAAAATACCATTTCAGGCTTTTTTTATTACATATTTTCTCTGTAACTGAAAAGAAAAACCCTACAAGATACAGAGGTAAAATAGATTCTGTGGGGTTGCCCAGAAATGCACTCTCATTTTAAGTAGTGCTAGCATTGCCAGCTCAAAGCGTTTTAAGCACCATCATGACTTTTCAAGCCCTGAGAATCTTGTTATTTGCCTTATGGCTTTTTCACACATTAAATGCACTCAGATCACAATTTAAGCTTGACTCCATAACCATCTTGGTAATATTGAGACTCCATATCATTTCAGCAGGAACTCGAGAGTCAAAAATATAAAAAAGCAAAGGATTTTAATGTAACTATGATTTGATGGACTGGAGGGTGTGAGCACAAAATACTGCAAGAATAATAATTAAAATCACAGGACTTGGAAGTGCTTAGGCAACCTCATGAAATTTATTACATTTTCTAGCATGTATTCCTTGAAGCTCACATGCCTCCAAGGGCAGGGGTATCACAACTTTCATCAAAGGGTGTTGCTGCTGTCACCTTAACTTTATCATCAAGATTTTATTTTAGGTTTATTTCTTTCCCACAATTCTAGCTCGCACATCTTTTTTGTTTACTTCCCTCCTCCTGCATTGCATCCGTTCAGATACTAAACAGGGGCTTCCTAACTCGCACTCCCTCTGCTGACTCTCCAGAGGTGCAGTGGATTTTGATTTTAAATTCTATTTTTAATGGGCTATACATAATGCTCTTCATTCTAAAAGCATCCTGGCATTCTCACACACCTTTTTCAAGTTGAGAAAGAGAATCCAACCCACTGATCTTTAAAAGGGTCAAGTCAGATATGTCTGTGGAATTTTTTAGCGGCTTGATGCAACTGGACAGTGTCACTGATTTGTCTCTGCATTTAATTATGTCTTCTGAGCAAACCAGAAACCATTCACATAGTTCTACTAGTTTCAGCATAATATATAGGAGAGAGCTGCTTGTTCTTCCCAGAGACCTTGATATCTTCAGTAGCCCGGGATTGCACACACCACAGCTTTGTTATATATACTTTGTGTTGCATAGTGCTTGACCTAATGTTATGCTGATGAGCTCACTCTGTACCTAAAAGATGCCGCAGAGGAGGAGATGAAGAGGGGAGAGTTTGGGGTTTGTGCCTAAACACTTGCAGAGTTATGGTGTTTGTGAGCCTCAAATTCAGGTATGGAAGAAGACCATGAGGTCATCTGCTCCATCTTCCTTCACATGGTATGTGTGCATGCATATATATATTTAACCTTCAGTTTACCACTGCATATTACACCTTCTTAGGTGGCTATATCAAGGTCTTAAACGATTGCAGTAGCCAGAGCTTTTTCATTTTTTGATATTCACCCCAAGCTTCCACCACCTTATAGTATGACACCTCTCCTTGGCTATACCCCTTCTATACCACATTGATCACAGCCTTTCCTATGCATTGTGCCTCTCTTGCCTGCTTGTGGCCACAGTTTAACCTCTCCTGGTTACTGCCATCCTTCCTCAATTTCACCTTTCCAAATTGTTGCATTCTTCTGTTTCCAACCTCCCCCCACTTAATCCATTTACAACGGAAGTCATAATATGACATCGCACCATAAATTCAGCAACCGGATGAACAAAGGAATCACCCAGTACTTTACACAACGTGCACAGACCCATTCCTTAGTACAACACAATTCTGATTCAGTAAGTGCTGTCAAGAGGATTTTACAAGAAGCTGAGCCAATATTGGGGAAAGAAAGAGATTTTTTTTTCTTACTAACATACCATGAACATTTGTTAGAATTGAAAGGCAAATTTCTGATTAACCAGATTTATGACCCCTTTAACGTTCAAGCATTTGCAAAAAGTGAGTGCAAAGTTCTGCGCTCATGAATATTCTACCTCACATGAGCAAACTGTCGCCCAAGGTAAATTCCAAATTGCTTGTGTTTGTAAAATCAGGAATGCTAATTAGTTATATAAGTCACAATGTATTGTTTCTGTTCCTTAACTTGATGACAAAACTACTTAACACATCTTATATTGCGAAGTGTGAAAATTACCGATATACAATTTATCACTCATTTTGGATTGGTTAATTACACAAGTTCCCACACAGATTGCCTATGGCATATTTGTCTAATGATCTAATTATTCCCTGAAGAAATTAGTGAATAACTTTACATGACAAACCTGACAATTTCACAATCTGCTCCTGGACAATTTGTAAATAGATAAGTTTGATGATATTTTGATTTTTATCTATTGGTGAACTAGTCAATCAGAATTGCGGGTCTTCATCACCTCCAGAAAAATCAGACTGTTTTTATTTTAAATAACTATTTCCCCCACAGGCGAACTGGGTCTGCCCCAACCATTACACATTTGCCTGTTTGTCAAATGGGTTGAGAATACGATTAAAGTAAATGGAAAAATAACCTAAATCAAGTGTGGATTAGACAGCCAGTGCCTATGGTCTCTCTTTGGAGAAAGCTGAGCAGCATGTGCAAAAATAATGTATCTAGAGGCTCATGAAGGCTAGACAGAGGTCACTTAAAGTCTGTCTGCCTAGAAAATCAGTCCGCTAAAATTTTACCAGATTTTTATGTCCCAGGCCAGCAAAGAATTGAGCAGTGTAATCTGCAAGCTGCAAAATACCAAAATTCCTGTGCTGTCAGAGCCCAGTCATAGTAAGGCTGATGCTTGGTATCGAGGTCTGTAGTCAGCACCTGTGTCCACAAGGCAATGCAGGTGGACCACTATGATGCTCATTTTGGCTCTGTAATACAAGACTCTGAACAAAGGGATCATGTAAAGCCCTTCAAAACCTCATCCCGTAACCCTTGGATAGTCGGGGCTGTAATCATCAATGGTACTGCTCCTGGGTCTATATGGAGCTGCTAGCACAGGAGAGCTTTGCTCCTACATTCAGCTTACCAAGAGCTTCTTGATACTAGACAGGGTTTTAAAGACACAGAGACTGTATTTCTTACAATGCTACAGTAAATATCTTCAGAAGGTGGTCAGTAGCATATCAGAAGCCTACAGGGAAGGGGAAGAGCTATTTTATAATGGCCAGAAAAAAAATAAACAAACTGAAAACAAACCAGCAGGAGAGCTGCTAAGGCTTCTTTGTAGGACAAAAAACATAGACCAATTCAACTGCAAAAGGACATGAAAAACTGGCCTTTTGGAGCACAGCCAGCCTGGTTTGGTTGCTATGACTAGAAAAAAAAAAATAAAAAATGAGTGGTCCTCCCCGAGTTAGCCTCATTTAAAGATACTGAGCCTTGACTTCTCATATAAAGCCTATTTTCACCCAATATCATATCCTGCACATAATAAAGTCTGACAACAGGTCATTTCAGTGGCTAGGGGCATAAACAGCTTGCAATAGAGTACACATCTAGATGCAATCACTAGTCTACGTTATCTTCACTCTGCCAGGTATATGAAAAATAGTGTTAAAATACTAAAGGTCACCCTGAAATGAATCAAGCCTTCCAGCATATTCTGATCCATACACAGCCCTGATCAGACACAGAACAAGTCCTGAAAACCACCACTGTGTGGAAGTTGCACATCTTGGATAGAAAGCAAGGACCACACCTGTGGTCCCAAGCAGTTGCGATCCCTTACCTGCTGCCCCTAGAACCTCATGAGAAGGTGGTCTTGAAATAACAAGGAAAAGAAATAAGTGACAATCTTACTGGAGAAAGATCTCAGAAAAGCCACAGTGACAATCAGGTGACCTCGTGGATCTCTTGGCCCCAAAGAGAGCACAAGTAGCTATGATTGCTCTCGTGCTGCTAACCATGAAATAGCAGAAAGCCACTCAAAGGCTAATTCCAGCCTGGCAGTAAGGTTAAATATTTTGCTGGGTGTAAGTGCTTGTCAATTTTTTAACTTAATTTTGGCTTGGAAAGAAAAACATGCTATCAGAACCTGCATCTTTAAGGACTGAAACCCCGGGGGAGGAGAAGGCTGGAAAGCCTTGTTGTTATGCACTGCCAGTTGGAACCAGACCCAGATTAAAGCAGATTTCTCACAAGAATGTGAAGCATTGAGTGATGGCTGAATACCACATGTATCGCACCTTCACCAGCAGATCCCTGCTTCTGTCAGTACCTCCACGGGCTATCACACTGCAGTCCCCACTGCAACCAGCACCATTAGAAACCGAAAAATCACTTGAACACACCAGACAAGCCACTCAGCTGTGCTTGCCGCTTGCTAATGCGAAGTCCGTCTCTCCTTTCAAATTTCAACCACACTTCATATTTCAGACTGAAAACAGAGTCCAAGCCCAAACGTTTCTATATGTACAACACCTACTACTTTTTCCGCACTATCAAACCTGCCTAGCAGATCAATCACAAAAGACATATTCTATTCTTCAGCTCAGCACTCCCCTCCGATCACAAGAATAAGTAGCACTCAGGCAGCAGCAGATTTCTCAAAGTGCATCCAGCTGTGCATCACGTAGCTCTGTTTTTATAACGAGGATCAGATAAAACAGGAGAAAAAAAGATGACATTATAAGGTACAAGCGAGCTAACAAAGGGATGTGCTCACTTATATCAACAAAAGCTGAGGATAAGGTGATAACAGAGCCTGACAAAAAGTACTTTGGCATTTCCGCTGTACCAGAGGACAGCACAGCCTCTGCTTACCAATCCTTCATCTGTCACAGTTATCCTGTGAGGAAGCAGGGGGTTGAGAAAAGTGACAATTATTTTGAAGACTAGATTTTTAATATCTGCACCTGTAGCCTTGCTGTAATGAAAACCTTCATGGCTATGGCAGGCAGAGCACACTGATTGCACAGTACACAGGTGTACTATGAAAGATGGAGTCATCTTCACCTGAGAAGGATTGTACCCCAGGAGATCGGGCAGACAGCTGCT